CTTAATTCCTTGGAGGAAAATGCTCACACATCCCTGCTCCTCTTGTTAAAGACAATACCCATTCTATAGTGTCAGACATTCATGACTCACCACCCAAGCTTCCCACTGACTGCTTCGTGGGGGGCTCCAGGAGGCTCCTTAGGAATGTGTAGATGCTCATCACATCACCATACATGGGGTGCAGAACCTGCACCGGGTTTCTTGGCTGTTAGCATTCCTTTCCCAAAATCATAGGATCCAGAGGATCCAACCTGAAAGTGAGGCATAGGGAGCTCTCAGAAATGACACAGAGGCTTCTGATTGGCCCAGCTGAAGGTAGGCCCAGTCCTGTCACGCACCGACTGGAAGAGCTGTGATTTGTTCACACTGGAGATGCCAAGGGAAGCTTTTTGGAAAGAGGTTTCATTGAGGTAGTTGGGAGGTCTTCATGGTCAACCCAGGGCTTGCCTTCAAGGGCACAGCTTGGCTTCAACCAAGACCATGGACAATGAGATTATCTGCTTTTATTTTGTTCTCATTCTGTTGTGACTTGGGGGAAAAGAAAAAGGATTTGAAGTGTAGGGATTTATTGTAAAGTCTTCTGTCCATGGAGAGCTCCACCATTTGTACTTCTCATATCCTCTTCTGACGTTGGAGGGTTATCTGGTGTTTCATTCACTTTGGGACATTTTTACTAATGCATCTTCAGTACATGAGTTAAAGAAATCCTCCATGAACTCAGCCCTGAGACTAACATGCCCAGCTGTGTGTCTCTGATGGTAGGAAGGGCTTTGTGGGGGGCAAAAGGACAAACAGGCTAGTGGATTCCTTTATGGCATTCCAATTACTTATGGTGTGGGAGGCATTTTTAGACTGATATATAATCCTTGCCCCCAGAGTGCTGGTAACTTAGTTTGGGGGCTAGTCAATGTATATAGTCTTGATTAAAGACAATTACATAGCATGCCAAGTTCAAACATCCAAGTCACAACGTTATTTTTTCTGGTTAGAATTAGCAGCATGCCTATTTACACAGACCAAACATAGAATATGTATTCTTGCTTTTCTCATTTTATTATAGGAACCAAGGTAATTATGAATTGCCCCGTTCCATGTCTGAGCACAGGACCCAAATCAAAATGTTTGTGATGAAGTGTGATAGAAGAAACAGTTCTACAAATGCAAGAAAGGTTGCAAAATTTCTAGTTTCTTATTTGCTTTGCTTTCCCAAACAAACAAAAGGATACTTTTTTCCTCAGGTAGGACAATAACTTTACTTCAGGGTCTGAATTCCTCTCATTGACCTATGCAGAGAGGAAATGACCATATAGGCTGAGATAGATTTTGTGTAGCCCATTCTTTCTTTCTTGTTTTTTTTAATTAAATTATTTTTTATTATGAAATACACATTTTTTAGAATTAGTTTCAGCTGTATAACACAGTGCAATAGTTATACTTTTTACCCCTCAAAGTGACAACCCCCTCCCCCAATCCGCCGCCCCATTTCCCCCCAATATCATACATATCTATTACAAATCCCTTGACTCCACTCCCACACTATACTCCACGT